AGGTGTGCAAGAACAAAAGAACTCAGCCACCATAACAAGCTCAAGTTGTAGAAGATCAACAGCAAGGCCATGAGTCTAAACAATTGTTTGTGGCTTCCTGTTACACAGCTCAGGCCAACAATGAAGTGTGGCTAATAGATAGTGGTTGCACCAACCACATGGCAGCAGATTTGCAGAACTTCATCAGGCTGGATAAGTTTTACTACTCTAGAGTCAAAATTGGGAATGAAGACTATGTGAAGGCCAAGGGAATTGGTGATGTTGCTGTCTTAACACAATCCAGTACCAAAGTTATTTCAAATGTTTTGTATGTACCCGAAATCACTCAAAACTTATTAAGTGTAGGAAAAATGCTAGAAAATGATTATTCCCTGCATTTTCAAAACCAATCATGTGTTATATTAGATAGTGAAGGAAATGAGTTGATGAGTGTGAAGATGTTGGGAAAGAGCTTTCCGGTTGAGTGGAAAAAATCAGAATTTGTGCACTAACCAATAGGTCAGAAGAATCTGAGCTTTGGCACAAAAGACTTGGCCATTTCCACTACATAGGTCTTAAAGAACTTAGAAGTAGATACATGGTCCTAGACCTACCTAAAATTGAAGAGAAGAAAATCCTTTGCACAACCTGCTAGCTTGGTAAACTCAGCAGGCTATCTTTTCCATCAGATCAGGCTTAGAAAGCTAGTGATAAACTGCAGCTGATCCACACTGATGTGTGTGGTCCCATGAAGACTGAATCTCTAATTGGAAGTAGATACTTTGTGCTATTTATTGATGATTTCTCCTAGATGGCCTGGGTGTATTTCTTAAAGCAGAAAAGTGAAGTGGCTGCTGTATTTAGAAAATTCAATCTCTTAGTGGAGAATCAAGCTGGGTCAGAGATCAAAGCCATAAGAAGTGCCATGGGATATAATATACATAAAGTGAGTTTAGTTTAATTTGCAAAGAGGTTGGGATTTTGCATTAGTTTACCACTTCTTATACCCCACAGCAGAATGGGATAAGTGAAAGGAGAAACAGAACCATCATGGAGATGGCAAGATGCATGATGGCTGAGAAGAAGCTTCCCAAGATGTTTTGGGCTGAAGCTATTAATACAGGAGTTTATCTCCTAAACAAACTACCAACTAAAATAGTCAAGAACCAAACTCTAGTTGAAGCCTAGAGTGGAGTAAAACTAGCAGTGGGCAACCTGAGAATATTTGGGAGTATTTGCTATGTCATGGTTCCAGCAAGCAAGAGAACAAAGTTGGATGACAAAGCTAAGGTAGGTATCTTTATAGGGTACAATAATCAGTTAAAAGGTTACAGAGTTTACATTCTTGAGTCCAAGAAGATTGTGATTACAAGGGATGTAAGGGTTGATGAAACATCAGTATGGAACAGGGAAGAGAAGAGAATAGATGAAGGAATTTGGCCACGATAGGAAGAGCCAACAGGGGAATTGATTAATGAGGCAGATTCTGATGAAGAGGAAGAACCTTCAGTTAGAGGAACCAGATCCTTAGCTGAAGTGTATGAAAGGTGCAATTTGGCTGTGTTTGAACCCCAAAATTATAATGTAGCTGCAAGATCAGAAGTGTGGAAGGCTGCAATGCAAGAGGAGCTATCAATGATAGAAAAGAATAACACCTAGGAACTTGTTAATAGACTAGAAAATAGAAAAGTGATCCAAGTGAAGTGGATCTTCAAGAAGAAAGTCAATCCTGATGGATCAGTCCACAAACACAAGGCAAGACTTGTAGTTAAAGGGTTTGCACAATAGCAAGGGGTAGATTTTTCTGACACTTTGGATCATGTAGCCAGGCATGACACCATCAGGTTATTGCTTGCATTTGCAGCTTACTTTGACTGGAAACTTTTCCAGTTGGATGTTAAATCAACATTCTTGAATGGCTTGATTACTGAGGAGATTTATATGGAACAACCGAAAGGTTATAAGGTTAGAGGTAAAGAGGACCAGGTGTATCTGCTGAAGAAGCCCTTGTATAGCCTAGAGCAGGCCCCTAAAGCCTAGTATAGCTGGATAAATGACCATCCATGCAACTTAGGATACACTAGGAGTCCTAATGAACATACACTCTATGTTAGGAAGACTAAAAGTGGCTTGACTATGGTCTCATTGTATGTTGATGATTTGCTGATTACAGGAAGCAACTCTGAAGAATTGAATCAGTTCAAGACAACCATGCAAAATGAATTTGAAATGACTGACTTGGGATTGATGACTTACTTTCTTGGTATGGAAATAAGTCAGTCTAGAGATGGTATTTTTGTGTGCCAACAGAGGTATACAAGTGAGATACTCAAGAAGTTTAGCATGGAAGGTTGTAAACTTATGGATACTCCATTGGTTCCCAATCTGAAGCTGAGCAAAGAGGATGGTGCAGAGAGAGTGGATAAAGGTCAGTATAGAAGTCTGGTTGGTTGCCTGATGTACCTTACAACCACTAGACATGATCTCATATTTACCGCAAGCTACCTTTCCAAGTTCATGAGCAATCCAAGTAAGCTGCATTTTAGAGCAGCCAACAGAGTTTTGAGATATGTGAAAGGGAGTACCATGCTTGGTATTTGGTTTAAGAAATAAGAAAACTTGGAGCTGTTGGGGTATACTGACAGTGACTGGGGCGGATCCCTTGATGACTTGAAGAGCATTTCTGGTTATGTGTTTTACATAAACTCAGGTGCAATTTGTTAGTTGTCAAAGAAGCAAGAGACTGTGGCTCAATCCACAGCAGAAGTAGAGTATATCTCCGCTGCTTCAGCTATGAACCAAGCTGTATGGCTAAGGAAAATCTTGGATGATTTGAAACAAACTCAAGGAAATCCAACACTGATTTTGTGTGACAATTAATCTGTTGTAGCCATGGCCAAAAATCATGTACTCCATAGTAAAACCAAGCACATTAAGATCAAGTACCATGTCGTGAGGGAAGCTAGACAATGTGGGGAAGTCAGTTTGGTGCATTGCAGAGGAGAAAATCAGATTGCTGACATTATGACAAAAGCCTTATCCAAAGCCAAGTTTGAAGACTTAAGCCTAAAACTTGGTGTTTCCAGCAAAAATATCAAGGAGGAGTGATAAAGTTATGATATTTTGCTGGAAATGTAATGTTCAAGGGCTGGTAATTTGAAGATGGTTTTTGGCACCAAGGAAATGCAGTGTGCTGTGCTGGAAGAAGTTGGTTAAGGGGCAACTGGCTGCACTACAAGAAAAAGTACTTTTTGCAACCAATTTTTTTTTTTGCAACTAGGCAAAAATAGTTGTAGATACCCCACATTTAGTAACTAAATTCCAATTAGTCGGCCAAAGGGAATAAAGTTATAGGGCCTATTTATTCCCGCCTTTAGCGTCTAAAATTAATATTTTGTGACTAATGTGATTTGTTGCCCAAAATATCACATCAGGGACTAATTTATTTGGTTGCCAATTCTTGCGCGAGCACAATTGGCAACTACAACAAGGGATTCTGCAACTAAAATTATGGTTATAGAAAACAATTATTTACAACTACTGAATAGTTGTTAAATTGGATGCACATATTAATTAATTAATTTGTAACTATTTTTATTAGTTACAAAATAATACAATTACTAAAATATCCAAGCTTTTGACAATAATTACAAAGGGCCCATGGTACATTTGACAACTAATTATTTTGTGCATATTACAACTAGTTGCAAAAACTCATGTATAGTAACTAAAATGTATTTCGTCGCTAAAAGTTGATGAATTTTTTTTACCCCAACTTTCCCGATAAAATGAAAAAAATATTATTTTAATTTGTGACTAAAATTACTGTTGCGTAACTAATTAGTTAGTTGCAAATTATCTTCTTTTGGCAACTAAGATTTTAGTTGCCAAATGTATGGTAAATTTTGAGCGCCCCATGTTCCCACTTGAAATAAATTGAAATTTTGGGTATGTTATTTTGGCAACTAAAGTTATAGTTGTTAATAGGATTTTTTTGCAACCAAAATGTTAGCCACTAAATATTGTTTATTAAAAATAATATATACTACTAGTAACCAAAATCAATTTTATTGTTTGATTCTACTTTTGCTGCCTACATTACCATCTCTTTGATTCTACTTTCGCCGCTTACATTACCCCATTGAAGGTAACTTATTTTTATTTTTATGTCAAAGCTCATTCTTTTACATATGGTATTTCAATTTTATTGTTTGTTTTTCAATCCGTTTCTTCACAACATTTGCTTTAATTTGTTTAAGCATATGTTGTTATTGACGTTCCTAAATGGGTGGCTTTAACTTTGTAATAGGTGATTTTATTTTTGTCTTTTCTTTCATCTAACATTACAATGGCTATTATAATTGTAATGAGTGCTTTAAATTCATTTATTGTTACTAATAAATGAATGGTGTTTGATTTTATTTTGTCTTCTCTTTCATCTGACATTACCAGTTTTTCCCTACAACTTTTGCTTAACTGCTATTTCACTCATTTGTACAAACCTTAATAGTTGACCTCCTTCCGGCACTGGAACAACAGTTTTAGTTTCTACCACTCTCACTCTCGTTCAGTAACAATGACTCGCTCACTGACTCTGACACTTATTCTATGTCTATTTCAATGGAGATTGTTAACTTCGATGAGTTTTGGCTAGGCGTATCCCGAACACCCAAATATAGCAGTGTTTAGAAAAATGTAGAAACCAAACCTAACCAGGAACTTAACCAGTTTTTCGTTTATCTGGGAAACCATTTGATTGTGGTCCACAAAAAGACGAAAAACTGAATTTCCAATTAAAAAAAAAAAAATTAAAAAGTAAACAATTTTTCCTTAGAATTTAAAAAGTAAACAAATTGAAAGTCCCTAAATCCTTACAATTAAAGAAAAACAAAACCCCAAACCCGGTTTTAGGGTAACATAAAAAAAAAAGTAAAAAATGTTGCATAGAAATTTTTGAAACTTAAAATTAAAAAGATAGTAAACCCACATATACAAAATCCCCAAACTAATTTTACCCTAAAACGCAAAACACTCTCCACTTCTCCACTCCGTTCGCATCTTCTTCTCCATTTTTCCACACCACATATAAAACATTACAAAATCCTACTGCTTTACTTTTGAACCCCGAAAAAGAAGGCAAAGAGTTTTTAGAATTTAAAAATAGGTGATGAATCTTAAAGGTTGGTGTGTGTATTATACAATAATGTTGTTGTTGATGAAATTCCGTTTATATTAAAACCAACAAAGATTGATTTCTTCAAAAAGAAAGATCTAAAAGTGCTTCTTTGCTTTTGAAACCAAAATGAAGACCAGGAATTTGGTGTTGCTGATGTTATGTGTTACGGTTATAGCTCTTATTGTTCTCTATACTGATAGATTCTCTGCCTCTTTCAAGGCTTCTTTTGTATGTCCTCATCTTCTTCATCAATTAATTTATTTTCCTATCTCAATTTCATACCTTGTTTCTTCTTCTTCAATTAACATTTTTCTGGGTTTGTTTCGTTTTTGCAGCTAGAAACCAATTTCTTGAAGATCTTTTAGCTTTTGTAAGTTTTTCCAACTTTCCTTTTTCACCCCTTGTCTTTCAAACAAGATAAGATAGTAAAGTTTCAATCTTTCTTCGTTTTTTCTCTTTAGACTGTCAGTGGTGATGCCATCCATCTAAATCTTCTTCCCCAAGTGCTTGTATGTTCATGGGTTTTTTGTTTTTTAAAATAGTTTCTTACTCATAAAGCTCAGATCTTTATATATTATCCCTTCAAAATCTCTTTTTTTTTTTCTTCCTTGTTGCATATAGGAATCTTCCACAACCCGTAAAGTACCCATTGGAATAGTTTATTCAGGTTGGCTTTTTGATTCTTTCTCATTGTTTGTGTGGTGAGTTCAAGAACTTTTATTGGGAAGTTGTCAGTACTTGTATCTTATGGGTTAAATTTGCTGTATGAGCAGAATCAAGATAGCATAAATTAGCTAGAGTTTTGTCTACAACAAATGATGTTGATCGGTCTCAAACAGATAATATCATCAAACAGGTCATTGATCTGAATCAGAGTGAAAATGAAATCAAGAAAAGTTCTGGAGATGCTCAGGACAAGATTAAGGCATCTGAGCAGCAGAATTCTGATAATGACTCTCAAAATATGGTAATTTTCATTTTTTTATATTCCAATTTTATAATCAGAACACTCATGTATATGCATTAAAGTCTTGGATGGTTACTTGTAGGTTTGAATGTGAAAGGTCGTCTTAAGGTCACCAGAGCATTTGGAGCTGGATTTCTGAAAAAGGTTTGTCGTATATCCTTTGTAATAACTATTTGCTGCAAGGATTTCTGATAAAAAGTAATTATGGTTGATGATTATTACTGTTTGGTGATTTGTACATTATGGTAGCATATATCTTCGTTATAGGTGCTCATTGCTTGCTATGTTCTAGTAAATTATATCCTCATGAATAATATTCATCACTACGATATATGGATAAGACACATTGGCTTTTACAGATAATGCAGTGTATAAATTAAAATGTTGTTATTTTTGGATATCTTTTAAAAGTGTTGTGATAGAGGAAATGCTGTATATAGCATTGGAAATGATTCAAGTTGCAGGTCACCTTTATCAGTGCATAAAAATATCATTTCTATTGTATGCCATGTCATGTGAGCCAACCAAATATCATTACTGTACTTATTTTTTTAATGTTTCAATATATGTGTCCTTGCTCTAACAAACCACAAGAATATCATTACTGATTTTGCTAATGCTTCACTTGTTTATGCATTCTTGCTCTTACAAAACCACACTTGAGCATTACACTTATGTTTCATTTTTTCAATTGATGAAGTTCCCAGTGTATTGTTTTATCCAATGGTGTGTTTTAAAAACTTGCACAATAATATCATGGCATCTTGGAGAAGCCCAAGTTGAACGATTCATTATTGGAAATGTTTCGAAATGAGTATATTGGAACTGCTCCATACATATCCTACACGCCTTCTCTTCATCACCATAGACTCTGCCCAAGAGATCAATTTTTGATCCTCTCATCTGATGGCTTATATCAATATCTGACCAATCAGGAAGTGGTTTCAAATGTTGAGAGTTTCATGGAGAAGTTTCCAGATGGTGATCCTGCACAACACCTAATAGAGGAGCTGCTCTTCCATGCAGCTGACAAAGCTGGTAAAATGTTTTTCTTATCTGCTTATTTCTTTAAATGCTAATAATCATCCAGTTGTACAAAATGTGGAAAAGTAATTATGAGATTTAACCTCTGAAAGTAAGGGTGTTTCTTCCATGGTAAATAGTATCAAAGCTTTTTCCATTCAATATTAAGGCAGTGTTTGTCTAAGCTTATAAGTTGGTCAAACTTGCTTATAAGCTCTAAAATTAAGCTGACCTGTTTGTTTATAATTTTTTTGAGCTTATAAGTTGAGTTTATAAGCCAAAAAAAATAAGTTGGGGGGGAGGTACTTTTGTTTTTGGCTTGTAAGCACTCTGCTTATAAGCTAGTTTGACCAAATATATTACCACATTATCCATATTTAATTTTAAAATTCCATAGTATACCCTTGTTTAATGTGGTACTTTTTTTAGTCATTTTATAATAAAATGTACTTATAAGCCACATTTTACCAAACACGTCAACTACTTATCAGTCACTTATAAATACTTTAGCCAAACACGTAATTGCTTAAAATTTCAAATGCTTATAAGCTAAAATTAGCTTATAAGTACTTGTTGCTTATAAGCTAATTTTCATAAGCTCAGACAAACACCCCCTAAGCCATTTGTCAACTATTTCTCAATGTAAATGTTCTGACAGAATTTTTAGTCATTTTCTTTTGCATTACAATAGGTAATTTCTTGAGTTATCTTTTTACTATTATTAAAGTGATGGCTCCAACAAGATTGGTTTCGAGCAATTTATCCATGGTTATCTGACTTATTGATTATGCATTGACTTGTTAATTATAATTTATATGTAATTATTTAGTTTCTTGCTTAACTTATTGATTATGCATTGAATTGATGGCAGGAAAAAATGATACAGCTGCAACATGAAACACAAGTAAGGGAAAGTGAAAAAACAGAAGCAGAAATATGTGAGGAAGTTCTAGGTAAAGCTGTGGGATATAATCAAAATTTTGCATTTTCATAGATTCAACATCATGATACTACAACAGAAGCAAAATTAAGGTGCATAGTGCAACCAAAAAAAAAAAAATAAGATTAAACAGTTGGAGGAGCAGCTCATCTTATTTGATCAACAAAAAGAGAAAATAAAAACCCTTGAACAACAACAATTTGTCCTATTGGAGATGATGAAGCAGCTAACTATAGCCCTTGAACTACAACAATCTGATAAAGCTCCAACTCGACAGCCATTGCCATCTTTAACTGATGAAGACTTGTCCTCATTAGCTACAGCTATTTCAAAAACCTCAATTGGTGACACTTGAGATGCTAACAGTATTAATGGTTAGTTTTTTGTTGTATGGGCAGTAGATATTTTGACATGGGGATAGGACTGTCTTTTTAGGATTATTTGCATATATCTGTTAGATGGTGTACATGGGGTGGGCATTTTTTTGTTAGTTATGCACAGATAGATAGCTAGTGGGGAAAATGTGGGTACATGCTTTTTTTTTTTTTTTTTGGTTATGCACACGTGATAGTGCATTTTGGATTTTTATTGTCATCATGCATAAAAATCCATGTATGGACTATATATATAAAAATATATATATGTATGAAAATATGATATTTGATATTAGTGATCAGATTTTTATAGTGTCAATTATTTTGTTGATGTTGAATGCATAAACTAGATCAATACGAAATGCTTTTGTCACTAATTATTTTCTCAAAAAAAAAAAAAAAAAAAAAACACATTTTGCAACTAATCTTTTAGTAGCAAAAAGTAATTTATCATAATTGCATTCCACATTCAGCGTCTAAAGTAACCAGAATTAACCACTAAATTTTGGTCACTAAAAGATACATTCGTCCATTAATAAAATAGTCGTGAGAACCTTTTGGATTCCACATTCAGCATCTAAAATGATTAGAATTAACTACTAAATTTTGGTCATCAAAAGATACATTCGTTCACTAATAAAATAGTCGCGAAAACCTTTTGGATTTCACATTAAGTGTTTAAAATTATTAGAATTGGCCACCAAATCTTGGTCATCAAAAGATACATTCGGTCACTAATAAAATAATCACAAAAACCTTTTGGATTTCACATTCAGCGTCTAAAAGTATTAGCATTAATCACCAAATTTTGGTCACCAAAAGATACATTCGTCTACTAATAAAATAGTTGTGAAAACCTTTTATGAAAGTACCCTTACACCTTCAGCGTCTAATTTTTGTGGCATTCGCGACAAATTATTAAACACTAAAAGGTACATTTTTTAATTAATTGATTAGTTGCGATACTATTTTACCAAATTACCCTTGAACAATTAGCGTCTAAGTGGGGAGACTATTTTAACCAACAATTAGCGACTAATTTGCTAGTCGCAAAAAAAAAAACTTTTCGCGTCTAACCAACAATTTAGACGCCCATACTTTTTGCGACATCGATTTTTCAACTACGTGGCGACTACGAAATTTAGATGTGAAAGAGATTTAGCATCTAAATTTTACTTTCTGTGTCTAATTTTGCTAGACGCCGAAAGACACTTTTCTTGTAGTGATGATATTTTTTGTTGTGATGTAATTAGGTAGATGGAGCTGGAAATATGGCTCTCTGTCCCTTAATTGTATTGTATTAGTTTATATTGTGTGGCTTAGTTTTGATCATGCAAAAGTGTCCTGACAGAGTGGTTATGACTGCAAATATTTTGTATAAGTTGTGCTATGATGGTTCAATGAATTAAGCTTCTTCTCTCCGGATTCTTTTCTTTCTTTGTATAATATGGCATTCAAACCAACACAGATGTTTGAGTTCTCTTAAAATTTTGGGCTTATATTACTGCAGGAATCTAGTAAGATTGTTTGAAGGGATGCAAGGTCTCACAAGCCTCTGAAGATTGAGAGTTCATGTTTGTTCTCTGACCTCCTTGCTTTATAGTATCAAGTACCTTAAAAGAGATTAGAGCAGGTAATGATTAGTGGCTGTGAACAGCTTAACTTGAAGATGGAATTTCAAGGAGAAGATAAAGACAACCTTTGCATGGGATGATGGGAATTCGAAAATTTATAATTATCAATTTGCCATCGTCAGTGGATTTGCCCCGACTTATTCTTCAAAGATCGGCAAACACTTTATAGTGCATAATGATTAAAAATTGTACCAAGTTAGTAGAACTACCGGAGTGGCTGCAAAATCTCACATCACTTCAAACACTGGAGATTTTAGATTGCCCGAGCTTGTCATGTCTTCTAGAAGGGATGCAATGCCTTACTGTCCTCGGACAACTGAAGATTCAAGGCTGTCCTACTCTGAGTGAAAGCTGCAGACGTGATGAGTCGAAGATTGCTCATGTCCGAGAGGTTCAGCTTGATGAATAAATGTCATCACATTATAATTTTGCTTTTTTTTCTTTTTTTCTTTTTTTCTGTTGAAGAAAATGTGATAGCAGATTCTCTTGGTAATGCATTGGCAGGGCCAGCCTAAGGGGAAGGCAGGTGAGGCACCTGCCTAGGGCCCCCCCAAAAAAAAGCCCCAAAAAAGGGTCCAAAATTATTTTAAGATTTTTTTAAATAAATTTACAGAAATATCATTGGACCTAAATAAGTTTATAATTTTTTATCCAAACTGGTCCAAAGGGCCCCAAAAAAGCCGAAAAGGCCCAAATTCATTATAATTTTTTTACAGAAATTTACAAAAAAACCATGTTTCATACTTTCATTCACACCCCTAAATTGACTAAACTAGTTATTTAAATGTCTAAATTTTCAAAACACCCATTCAATCCCTAAAATGATGAAAACATTGCATCTCCACCCCTCTACACCACCATAGTGTCGTTGTCGGCATTAAAGTGATGATTCTGGTCAATTTTCTCACCAAAATCGACTGGATTCATCACTTAATCATTTCCAAAACATTTTCTCAGCCTTGACAACCCTCAATTTGGTCGATTTTTGCTGATTTTCGCAACCCATTTTCATTCTTCACCGCATGTGACAACCATTTTCGGCACGTATCCGTTGTTGTTGACCTTCCCCGACACCACCATGTTCGTCCCCTCAGCCCCCTCCCCAAAACCCCTCACTTACCTGACCCCAGTAGCCCGCCATCTACCGCTCGCCCACACAAGAAAGATTAGGTAATTTGACTATATTATCAATTGAAAAAGATTTGGTTTCTAAATTTGAATATAAAAATTTAATTAATGATTTTGCATCTCAAAAGACAAGAAAAATAAATTTGAAATAATTTTTTAATATATGTTTATATTATTAAAAGGGCCCCAAAGTAACTCTTATCTAGGGTCATAAATGTTCTTGAGACGGCCCTGTGCATTGGTGGCGTGTTGTGTTGCTTCTTCGTTTATTTTTCAAGACCTAAATCTCCTTCTTATGATCCAGACTTACCAAAAAAAATTAGTTATAATTTAGATTTATTTGTCTATTTTTATTTTACTTTTGAATATAGTTAAACCAGGCCGTGAAAATTACAGAAGCGCTTGTCCAGTTTATTCAATTTCTAATTTTCTAATGTTATTCAATTTCTAATTTTCTTAAGTTTATTCAATTCAAATATTTCTGAAGTTGTCACAACAGATTTTGGTATTGCAGTTATGTTGTTCAGTATTCAAAGTGAAGCTAAAAGTTTTTAAGTTATGTAAACTATAATAAGATATTCCAAACAAAATGCACTGCATTGTGTATGTAAAGGGAAGTAGGAACGATATTTATTGTAAGGCTTGAATGTAAAACAAGAATTCGATCGAAATCATGTATTCATAGTACGTAATGAGGCTGTGATCAAGCCATAACCACAACATTCTATTCATTCACATACCCTATTGGCTTCTCCAAGTTTATCTCTCTGGCTCTTCTCCAACCTACTTCGAAGTTTGGTGGTTTTGGCTTCAAAAAACCTGCTTTTGAGTTTCTCTCCCGTAGTATCTCAGATTTTCTTCTCTTTTTGATGGGGAAAGACTCAGGGCTGGTGGTGACCACTGAGTTTGGAGAAGAAGAAGGAAAGTCTTGGATTTGTGTTAGGGTGATGGCTTTATATGGTGACGTTTCACCATTAAGTGGAGCGACGTTGTTTTGAGCCAAGTAAAGATCAATCATGTCCGTTGGCTGGTTGAGGATCCAACGGTGAGAAAGCAGCCTGATAGTCAACGGTATAAAAGCAGCCAAACAGTCCAAATCGATTGAATGAATTTGTATTTTCTCTTCTCTATAAAACGAAACTGTATTTGCTAGGGTTTGGGTTTTGTTTGTGATCTTGAATCTTGTAACTAGGAGTTGAGTGGCTGGTTTGGAGGCTACTTGAGGGTGCTAGGGTTCACAGTGTATTTGGGATACTAGATCTGTGTCTCCAGGTGTTACGGGTTCAGAAGGGATTAGGAAAGGGTTTAATCTTGAGAAAAGGTATGTACTGTAATCTTGATCAATATAGTGCAGCGAGCTCGCTGGTTTCCCGAGCTCAACGTGACGTAGCTTGCTCAATCTGAGCAAGTGAACCACGGTAAATCTTGGTGTGTTGTGTGTGCATTTTTCTGTTGGATTTGTGCTGTGTGATTTGTTGTTGTTTTGGTTGTTTTGATGCGAGTAGTTATAAAAATTTGTTTACCATCATCTGGAGTGGGGGTTAAGTTGTTTGAAGTGGTACTGCATTTGATGGATAAGTGGGTTTTGGATAATTGGTTATGGAAGACAAGTTTTGATGGGATGGGATGGGATGATTGAGGTGAGCAGAGTTTGGTTGAGAAAGACAATGAAGGAGTGTGCACGTGGAAGCCATGGGAGCTTTGAAGCTACAACGTGAAAAGGAAAAAGAAGAATTAAAGAGTTAAAAGAAAATTAAGGATTTAAAGGTGAATTAAATCACTTAAATACATTTCCATTAAAGAATTCCTCCGATTAGCAACCTATTGTAATTATTATAAGGTATCCATACTCATAATCATAAAGAAATAACCAAAGACAAAAATAGATAAACCTTAAAATATACATGAAAGCAAAATTAAATTTTAGAAGTAGGTTTAGTTCAATGATTTCAACCCCAATGACTCGCACGTGCAAAATGCTAAG